CTCCACAGACGCCCGCTTGCCCCAGCCCGAGGCGCCCCAGAGCGGTGCTGACAACGGTCCTCCGAGGTCGCTCGCATTAGATCCACACGGACGGCGCTCAGCCCACTGACGCACGCTCCCTGCCCCCCCTTCCGGCCCAGGGCTCGCAACGTGCGAGGCTCCGCAGTCACCCCGACCGAGGGGGCGCCCAACACGGGGCCGTTCTTCGGATTCCCTCCTCGAGCGCCTCACTACGCCCCTATGGGGCCGGGGCCGCCCAAGCGGCTGGCGGAGCACAAGCGACAGGCCACACCCGACGAGGGTCCCCGCGCCCTCGCCACCCCGCCTGCTGCGCGGCCCCTACCGGGGCCTTCCCGGCTGGAGCCGCAGCTGCACTCACTCCCCTCACGCCCACTTCACAGGCTCCTCCAGGAGGGAAGCCCGCCTCCTTCCGAGACAAGGCGCGCCCCTCTCGCCCGCACCTCACGCGGCTGCCACCGAAGCCCCCCAGTCCCACGGCCCCGGCCCCGATGGGTGGCCCCTGCCACAGGATGCCACTCGATTGTCCTCGCCCAGGCCTCCTACCTGCGCGTCTTCTTCAGACTCCGCTACCGGAAAGAGAGAGGGGGGAGTGGGCGGGGCGACGGGTCACGTCCGCATCCCCGGAAGTGTACGCCTGAGGTCACGCCGCGAGGCCGGCTCCCGGAAGATGCCCGCTCTGAGCGTTTCCACGGAGCTGAAGACTCGCCCTCGGGAAAGGCGGTTCACTTAAGAGAGCACCAAAGGAGGCGATGTCGCTGCGAGCGGGTCGGCCTCGGAGGCTGCACGAACGAAGCAGCGACATCTACTGAGCGACGCGGACCAGTGTGCAAAGATAGTCGCGGCCGCGGCTAGACGGACTTCCTGTATCCTGACCCCGGGCCTCGTGCGCCCGGGGGCAGCAGCGCTCCTCGTGGCGTGGAGGGCAATAACAACAACAACAACCGCGATCGTCAGAGACTTGGATCTCCTATGTGTACTCGGCAAAATAAGAAGTTATTCCGTATTTATTGTACACTAGCTCGGGCTGAGCAATTCATATGCAAAGCTTCATTTAATCCTCACAAAATTATCAACTAGATAACGGTTCTGATTTCTCTTTTTACAGATAAGGGATCACTGAGATCACACATTTGTGGCTGATTTAGAATTCTGACTGCAAAGCCCATATGTTTAAAATAGCCACTTCCATATATCTCTCTAACATATGGAAGAGAGAATGTGTAGATGGAGATACGGCGAAGGGCCGAGAAGTAGGTTGTGTCTGTATGTGTGTGTGTGTGTGTGTGTGTGTGTGTATTTATTCTGAATGGAGCCATCAGAGGGTTTTGAGCAAAAAAATGACAGAATCTGACTTCTGACTTAGTAAGATCATTGAAGATGCTCTGTGGAGATTAGACTCCCGATGGGGGTGGAGGTGAGGGGCTAACATAGAAGGAGGGGTTCCGGGGAGCCCTGGTGGCTCAGCGGTTTAGCGTCACCTACAGCTCAGGGCGTGATCCTGGAGACCCGGGATCGAGTCCCACGTCAGGCTCCCTGCATGGAGCCTGCTTCTCCCTTGGCCTGTGTCTCTGCCTCTCTCTCTCTCTCCTCTCTGTGTATTCTCATGAATAAATAAATAAAATCTTTTTTAAAAAAATAAGGAGGGGTTCCACTTTAGAGGGGAGAGATATTAGTAGCTGAGACTCAGGTGGCATCAGTGGGGGCAGAAAAAAGCGATCAACATTTGATTATATTCCAAAGATCCAACAGGATTTCTTGCTAGATTACACATGAGGCATAAGAGAAAGAATTGTCAAAGACGATTCCAGCGTTTATGGCTGGAGCAACTGGAAAGATGGTGTTGCCATCAGCTAGGTTGGAGAAGTCTGAGAGTGGAGTAGGTTTTGGGGGGAAGATTGGATGCTCAATCTTAGGTCCGAGTTTAAGGCGTTTTTTTGCACATCGAAGTGGAGATGCCAAGGAGGTTTTTGGGATAGATGAGTCTGGAATTGAGGAGAGGTGTCTTCAGCATCTAAACATTACTGGAAATCATAAGACTATTGATGACCACTGAGGGACTGAGTGCAGACAGAGAAGATGTCCAGGGACTGAGCATCAGACCGTTGGGATAAGAGAAAGTGATAGCCAAGGAAAAAGAAGCTGGAAACGGCAAGATGGGAGCAAAACTGAATGTGGGGGAGGGGGTGTCCAGGAAGCCAAGCGAAGAAGAGGAACTAAGGAGAAGGGAGGAGGTAGCTATGCCACAGCACGGAGGGGTAGATGTGAGGTGGGGCTGAGAATGTGCATGGATGCAGCAACATGGAGGGCACTGGGGACCTGGACAAGAGCAGTCTCAGTGTGTGTGTATCAAGGGAACGTTTGAATGGAGTAGATTTAAGAGAGAAATGAAAGTAACGTGTACAAAGGACGGGATGAGAGATGAGGAAATGGGCTCAAGAGGTTCTTTTGGTTTCTCTTTTTATTATTTTTTAAAGATTTTATTTATTTCTTCATGAGAGAGAGAGAGAGGCAGACACACAGGCAGAGAGAGAAGCAGGCTCCATGCAGGGACCCTGATGTGGGACTCAATCCCGGGACCCCAGGACCATGCCCTGGGCCGAAGGCAGGCACTAAACTGCTGAGCTATCCAGGGATCCCCTCGGTTTCTCTTTTTAAAGGTTGTCTTGGGACACCTGGTGGCTCAGTCAATTAAGCATCTGCCTTCAGCTCTGGTCATGATCCCAGGGTCCTGGAATTGAGTCCCACATCATTGGGCTCTCTGCTCAGTGGGAAGCCTGCTTCTCCCTCTCCCTCTGCCTCTTCCCCAGCTCATGTTCTCTCTCACTTTTGATCTCTCTCAAAAAAATAAACAAAATCTTAAAAAAATAAAGGTTTTATCAATAACATATTTGTACACTGTTGGGAATGATCTACTCGTAGAGTGAAAATTTTGATGAAGGCGCTGTGTCCTTGAGCAGGTGAGATTTGCTGGGCTTTAGTGTCCACAGAGAGGAATTGGCTTTCCACAGGAGCGTGGGTAGTGTGTCTGTGCAAACAGGGGAGAGGGGAGGTGCTGCAGGGCAAGCGTGTGTCGGGGTGGGAGCTCGAGTGTTCTCATCGGGGAAGTAGCACAAGGCTGGAGATGAGTGAGGGGGAGTATGGGAGGTTGAAGGTGGGAGAAGGCTTGTGATGGCCACTAAGATCTAGGGCACTAGAGGAGAATTCGGAGGCAGCATTACGGGCCCACTTAAGGTTGGTGGTTGCTGTTTTCTCCAGCCCTGTTCAGCTGCACAGATGCAGCCACGGCATAAACAGAGCATTGGATTTAACCAGAGCTGTGGTTTTGTCGAGAGAAGAGAACTCAAGAGAGTGGCAGGAGAATGAGGGTGAGTGTGCAGGAGCAATGATCATGACCAAGCATGCCATTGGAGCTGCATGACTGGGGTCATGAGAGCATCCAGGGGCTAAGGGACACCATAAAGACCATGGGGCCGACCAATCAGAGGTCCTGATGGGGCAAGGGACAGCTGAGACAGCTGGAGTCAATTACCTGCTGATACTTTGGGTGCAGGTCAGGGGCCGAGGGGCACGGAATTGAGATGTCGGTTGAAAGAGGAGTCGCAGGCACTGGTGACGACCATGGGAGGGAGTGGCTCTTCGTAGAGAAGAACAGATCAAGGGCCCAGAGGCCAGGGTGATAGCATCCTCTGCGTGAATACTGAGAGGACCAAGAACTAAAACAGGATAAAACAGGAAGCAACTGGCTGAGAGTGATCCTGAGTCCAGGGACAGTCCTTAAGGGTGGCAGGATGGGACCCAAGGGCTGTTATATGTCTTCACCGAAGTGGAGTAGCGCATGCTAGCTACACATATGCGGTGACAAGATTCAAAACTGGTGCCCTTTGTGTGTGTGTGTGTGGGGGGGTGGCCTGGAAATAACGAGAAGCAAGAGGACAACATGCCCACATGCTGTGGTTCCTACCTCGCTGCCACAGGCTGTGGAAGAAGAAAGGGGAAGCCACGGGGAGGCCTGCAGGGAGATGCAGCATCCTCAGGGGAGAGCCAGATTTTCTAGGACAGGATGGGAAAGTCCAGAGAAGACACTGAGAGAGAGGAAATCCCACTGCTGATGGCCTGGAATTCCCGAGGGCAGAATTCCAGAAGGCTCTGAGGAACCGAAGGAGAATCGAAGGCGGGAGTGGGGGTGGGGGGACCAAAGACGAGCTACCAGGGCCACACAGGGACCAGAGTGGCAGCGACAAGGGAGGCCCTGGGTGCAGGGCGGCAGGCGAAGGCAGCAGAGCTTAGTGACAACGCTGCAGCTGCCTGGTGAACAATAGTAGCAACAATGGCCCCTATGTTAATTGTACACTTACAGCACGCCAGGCCCTGTACCAAGCCAGGTGCCTGTAGCATCTCAGTCCTTTCAATCACCCTTGGAGGCAGAATTTTTTTTGATTCCCCTCACTTACAATGGAGGAAACAATCAGCCAACAGCCATCAGTAGTAGTGACACAGGGATCTGAGCCCAGGTGATCTGGCTCCAGAGCCCCGATGTTTTAAATCTCCAATCTGGGTGTTTTCTAAGTATCTGTTGAGTGAGGAAATGAAGAATAGGGAATTGCCCTGAGAAATCCAAAGCCAGCCCTTTGCTGGGTCCTCCAGCCCAGGCTGGAATGCTCCATACTTCCCATGTCTAGCAAGAGTTCATATTTTTTTTAAAAAGTTTTTATTTATTTGACAGAGAGAGTGAGAGAGCACAAGCAGGGGAAGAGGGAGAAGCAGACTCCCCACTGAGCAGGGAACCTGATGCGGGGCTCCATCCCAGGACCCTGGAATCATGACCTGAGCTGAAGGCAGACGCTTAACTAGCTGAGCCACCCAAGCGCCCTAACAGTTCATACTATAATTTGCTCATGGGTTCCATCCTCTACTCCCCTTGGAGACAAGTTTTGTGACAGGGGGCAAGGGAAGCATGGGAAGAGGAAGCTGTGGCCCAGAGAGGGTGAGCTAGTTCACCACAGACACACAGCCAGGAATCAGAGACCCGTTGTAGCCCAGTGGGCACTAGGGCTTGGAGGTGGGGCGGGGCCCAGAGCAGCTCCCTGTGTCCTTCTTGGAAACCTCCAGTTTCTGTCCTCCACGGTCTGTGACCTGCCTGCTGCTGATGCTCACAGGACTCACTCGTGGTTGAATGTGCAGGCCCCGGGCCCTCTGAGCACTTACCCTGCAGAGGGAAGCATCACAGGGCCTCTGTCAAGGTCTCTGTTAAAGGAGGAAGATGGGCAAGAAGCATGGCATATGTGCAGCAGGCTTTGCAACAGGGCGGAGGGATGTCTGTGGGGGGCAACAGAAGGCTAGTCTAGCTTGGTCAGGGGCCTCTGGGCAGGTGCTGTTTAAATAGAGGCCCAGAGAGTGAGTAGGGGCTAGGGGTCAGCCAGGACAGGGAGAAGAGGGTGGGGGAGGATTCCCAGGCTGAGAAAACAGCTTGTGGGAAGGTCTTGAGTCTATATAAAATGTGGATCTACTTAGGATCATTCGTGGAGAAGTTCTGTGTGGCTAGAGGGGAGGGGATGGTGGGGAGTGAGCTCCCAGATTGAGGGGTGAGAGGCTAAGTGCCTGGATGGGCAGTCCCTGTGTGTGCTGCTAGGCCCAGCTCTGCCCAGGGAGGGAGACCAAGGCAGCGGTCCCAGGGAGCTGTAACAGGACGCCCCCCCCCCCCCCCCCGCGCCCCGTCCCGCCCCTCCCAGCCCTGAGCGGATCAGAGGGGCTGAGAATGCCTGCTCCCGCCTAGGTTCCCCACTAGATGGCGCATGATCCCTACATTGGGGGGAAGGACCGGCCTTGGCTGAGGCTGGTGTGGGGGGATGCTCTTGTGTGAGGGACCTGCTCCTCTGTTTCTGAGCCCAGAAGTTGGTTGGGGGGTATGAGTGTGAGTCTGTGTGTGTAAATCTGTACTTCAGTCAGGACATTCACCTGGGACACGGTCATGAGATGGCCTTGGCAATGTAGTCTCCATTTATGCCTCATCTTATCCCCAGGAGCTCAGATTTTTATCCTCATTTTCCAGAGAGGTAGCCAAGGCTAGAGAAGGTCAGGAACATACCCAAGGTCTGGTTCTCGGGGCTGGTTCTGAGTGGAGTAAGTGGTTAGAGGTGGCTGCCAGTAGGCTCTGCACTTCACCATGCTGCAGGGCCGGCTTTCAGAGCACCTGCTCCGGGTCACCCTGGAGGGAAGAGCAAGGCAATGGGTTGGGGTACCAGGATATGGATTCTGGGGCACTTACCCATTCTGCACACTTGTGGAGTGCCTACTACGTGCTAGGCTCTGTGCTAGGTGTTGGCAAACAATAAGGCAATGGATAGCACAGACCCAAAACAGAATCTAGTGGCAGAGACAGCCAGCTGAAATGCTGTGAGGGAAAGAGGCCAACCCAGACTCCAGATGTTCACAGGGCTGGCCTCATTCTCTTGGAGGGGGGTAGGGACTGGACTCCGAGGAAGAGACCCGGAGGGTGAGAAGGCACAGCCAAACACATAGCTAGCGTGAGGGCTGCCAACGCAGAGAAAAGCTTGAAGGAGGGGGGCAGGCAAAGAGGGGGAAAGAGGTAAGATCATCCAGGAAGCCAGGAGCTTGGTGGGCCCTGGTGGGGAGGGTGCCATGGGAAGGCAGCCACGAGCTCGAAGCAGGGTATGGGTTGTTCTGATTTGTGTATTTCAAATTTCACTCTGCCTTCATTAGGAGAATCAGGTAAAGATAGTCATGCAGGTGAGAGATGGTGGCTCGGAGCATGATAGGAGCTGTAAGGATGGGAGGACTGAATCCAGATCCAAGAGCTACTTTGGAAGTAGAATCTATAGGATTTTGAGCAGTGAGTGCACAGTGGGGCCATTTACCAAGTGGAGCCTGGAGAAGTCATGATTCCTGTGGAGGGTGGGAAGCTCAGGCCCTGTTACTTTTGGAGCTCCCTGTAGGACCTCCTAGTAGAAAGATGGGGCAGACAGTTGAGGCTCACTGGAAGGTCTGGGCTGCTGATGTAACTTTAGGAGCCTCTAGATTGTTCTAATGTCGAGGGATTGGGGGAGGTCACCCAGCCCGCAGTCCAGGTGGCTTACGAATGGAAGGTAGCAAGGGCCCCATCACAGCAGATGTGCAGAGGAGCCTGCTGTCAATCACAGCTGCTGGGAAGGGGAGGCCTCTTTGAGGGAGGTGGAATGAAATGGCCTCTGAGGGTGCCAGAGACCAGGACCGGGTGGTCCTGAGACTGTGTGGAGGAGTTGGACACGCTGACCCTCTCTTTGTCTGGTTAGATCCTCCTTCTCCATGGCACTCCCCCCACTGCCATCTGGCAGGGCCCAGAGGCAAGACCCTGAGGTGGGGGTGGGGAGGCCAGCCTCAGGGACAGGCTGTAATTTCAGCTGGGGGCAGGGTTCCTGAATTTCAGTGCCACCTGGTGTGAGGTTCCTCTTTCTGGCACCTCCCCATGATCGGCTCTGCTGACAGTCCCTCGTCCCCAACCACAGCTACTCAGCTAGCTTCCCACCTGGAAAGGCATTGAGTCAGGTGGCACAGCATGGGGGGCATAGGGAGGGGTAATTGGAGGGGGCTGCCAGGTTTAATTAGTGGTTGTGAAGCCCTGGAAACTGCATCTGAGAGCACCCCACCCCCACCCCCCAGACTTTCATCTTCAAAACTTCCCCACCAGCCTGGATGAAAGGGCCAGGGAGGGGCCAGGTATTAATAGTAATTATTAGTTTCGCTAATAAAGAGAAGAAACAGGATTATCACCAAGCCTAACTTGTTCTCCCCTCTTTGTCTACCTTCTCTCCTTCCTCTGGCTCTATGTCTCTCTTCTTTCCTCTTTCCTTCCTTCTCTATATTTTTCTTTCTCTTTTATCCAGGCCTTGCCACTTCTGTGTGTCTTTGTTGTGGGGCCTCAGGATCCTGCCCTTCTGGGTCTTACCGGATCTTTGTGTTGGGGCATCTGGGGCACCAGGATATTTGGGGAGCCCCCAGTGCTTGTCTGGGTGGTGGAAGGAGAGTGGGAATAGATGTGGGTGTGTGTGTATGTATGTGTGTATTAGGGTGTCTGTGTCCATTAACTCATTCATTCACTGTTTTACAAGTAGTTCCTGAACACCTACTAGATGCCAGGCACTGGATTGGGCCCCAGAAGTTCAATGATGAACAGGACAGATTTGGGCCCTGCCTGTGGAGCCAACATCCAAGGGGAGAAGAGGAACAATGAACAGTAAACTGACAAGTACATTCGAGGTCACAGATCGTCATGCACAAGGAAGGGATGGTGGCCACTTTAGACTGAGGGATCAGGGAGGTCTCCCCAAGGAGGTGGCATTTGGGCTGAGACCTGAACATCGAGGAAGACCCAGTTATGAGACAAGATTGGGAAAAGGATCTGTGGCAGGGAGAACAGCCCTTACAAAAGTCCTGAGGTGAGAAAGAGCTTGGAATGTTCAAGGATGAGATAGGAGGGTAAGGAGCAGGGAGCTAGATTTAGAAGGGGAAAGTGAGCAGAGCTGGGCCAAGGCCAGTGCATGGGTGTGCCCCCTGTGCACTCACACCCCCTGGTGCACTCATACTAGGCCCTACACCTGTTCAAATGCTCTGCTGTCACTGTCTTGAAATTCTTATTTTTGAACAGGGGTTCTACATCTCCATTTTGCACTGGGGGAGGTTGGCAAAAGAAGTGAATGTCTGTGTGTAGAAATAAGAGGCCTACTTGGCTGGTGTTTGATTGAAGGAAGGAAAGAAGGAGGGGAAGGGGGAAGAAGAGAGGGAGTAAGTGGGGAGGAAAGGAAGCACTGTGCACATATGTGTGAGCTCATCTGTGAGGCTGTCGCAGGACCACATTAGCCTAGACCAGGGGCTGCTATTACGTGTGAGGGGGCTCACACTCAGATGTGACCCCAGTGTGTCCCCAAAGTCTGGTGGTACCTGTCGCCAGAGGGGCTCCCAGGAGCTGTGTGTACCAGACCTGAAGCAGCACCATGATCAGGGAGTGAGGCCAGGCTCATCCCAGGCCCCACCTTGGGAAACACGGTGACTCCTCCACTTCAGATGGAGGCAGCCCTGTCTTGCCTCTTAAGACTTGAGACTTTGGAGCCAGATAGAATTTGAGTTCAAATGTGACTTTGACACTCTGCCTGGTGGTTACAAATAACTGAACTTTGAGCAGGTGATTTGCTTCTCCAAACCTCAGTTTCTTCATCTGTAGCATGGGGGTCACTACTTAAAATTGTTGAGGGGATTATAAGAGAAGGGTTCTTGGCCTAGTCAGCTTGGTAAATGTTGACAATAGTAGTTATTATTGCCATACAATCTCTGGAGCCTTGGGGAAACATTTGCATCTGCCTCTGAATGCCTGCATAATCATGAACAAGCACCAGGAGGATTCTCCTGGGCCTCAGTTTCCTCTTCTCTTAAATTGGAATGATAACAATCTAACCCATCTCTAACCAGAGTGGTCAGGACGGAACTGTGTGATCTCTGTGGAGCGTCTCTGTAAACTGATGTGTATTGTTGCGTTGTTGGCATATTCCTGACCATTTGGGAGCAGATTTTCTACGAATCTGCCCACCTGGAGAGAAAAGCACCCCTGGGTTTTTGGCAGCGCAGAAAACTCAGTCCCTGGATTCCCAGCCCTGGGTTATCATGCTCATGCCGGAAAGTCTGCCTGAGAGTGAACCTCAAGTTCAAGATCTGCATTTGCACCAAGAAGAGGAAGGTCCAGAAGCTGCAGCAGGGAAGGGGGGAGGATGAGCTGAGGCAGAACAAAGGAGCTGGAACCCAAATCCCCATGGCCTTGCTGCCTGCCTCCCTCTAAGCAGCAAGCAGCCGAGAAGCTATGAGAAGTTGCCTCTGACAAAGGGCCCGGGTGACAGTGTTGGAGTGGGCCGACCGCCACTTTATCTCCCCCATACACTCCCAGCAGCTGATTTTCAGGTTCCTGCAAAACTCATGGGGAGCCCAAAGTAGCACCAGCCCAGGAAAGAGAACCCCTGCCCCGGAGGAGTCCTGGTCAGGGGACCCTGGAAGGGAGAGTTCGAAAGGGCCCTTGGCCATCTCTGAGCAAAGACCAGGAGCTCTGGGTCCATGCCTAGGGGCAGCCACCACCCAGCAAGGTGACCTTGGGGCTATTTAGCCTTTCTGTGCCTCAGTTTCCCCATCTATAACACATTACATCTTCTCAGTGCTGCTGGGAGAACAAAGTGTTCTCAGGTCCTTGGCAATACCTGACACACAGTGAATACTTTAACAAACATTTGCTGCTATTATATTCTTTAACAGATGAGGCCACCCAGCGAGTTGTGACAGTCTGTCAGATATGCTGATAGACTACTTCAAAGCCCTCCTCTAAATTTGTTGTATTTTTGGCTGGCAACAATCATTCATTCGTTTATTCAGCAAGTATTTATGGAGCATATTTATAGTAGCCAAGCGTGGCAGATAGGGGGCCCCCAGGACTGATTGGTTCCTGAAAGGGCATTTGGGCGAAAACTAACATTTATTCAGCTTGAACCACGGGCACAGTTTCCGTGCGCTCAGATTCCCACGAGCCTGGAGATGGGTCTTTGCCAATTAATAGCGGAGATCGTCCAGGTGAAGCCACAGGCACAAGATCACATGGCTACACAGTAGCAGCACTGGGACTCACCCCAGGCTCATTTCACTCTAAAGTTTACGTTTTTCTGGGGCACCCAGATGGCTCAGTGGTTGAGCATCTGCCTTCAGTTCAGGTCATGATTCTGGGGTCCTGGGATCCAATCCTGTATCAGCCTCCCCACAGGAAGCCTGCTTCTCCCTCTGCCTCTCTCTGTGTGTCTCTTATGAATAAACAAAATCTTTAAAAAAAATTGTGCTTTTCCAAATCTAGATTCCAGGTCTACCTTCCAACTGCCCCTCCCCTCCACACCTGGCCCCTGCCCCCACTTTGGCACAGCCACACCCCTAGAGACCAAAGGTTGGGCTGTTTTCTGCCGCCCTCTGCAGCAGGATCTTTGTCATTTCCTCCCCGGTTCTCCTGACCATGCAGAGCAACCTTGGGGCTTTCCTCAGAGGGGAAACCCGGCCTGGAAGCAGCCCATGGAAAATGTGGCTGCGGGTGACTCCTAATGTTTGTCTCCTCAGCTGCAGAGTATTTGGGTGCCAGGGGCCGGGGCAAGGTGGGGGAGGCTGCCCAGATGGGTGCAGATGGGTGATCCCCCA